GTGTAATAAATACTCACAAAGAAAACAGCGGCTGTTACAACTTATGTCTAAAAATGTATAGTTTCATGCATCGTTTAAAACACGCGACTCCAGGTACATGACACGCAGCTGGAAACACTTCCCGCAAGACGAGCTGCCCGAGATTCACAGAATTTACAGAAAATGTTACATTTTTGTGATTTATATCGTTATCAGGACGATAGAATTCTTATATCGGGATATGAGATATTGGTCATATCGCACAGTCCTATCTTAAGATGAGTTTCTATTTTGTCTTTCATGCTAGTAAGGTTCCATCAAGGCAGTTACTGTGTAATCACACCAGCAGTCACGTTCTGAATTTAGCTGGGACTCTTCTTCATCTACTGAGTAAAACTGCTTCTCAGTGATGCCACATATGTGTCAATAGCTGTATAATGTTCATATAAGTCTGTAAAATAACCTATTCATAGAAGCTTTGTTTACGTCATTTTGTTATTATTAGCTTTATTAAAGCAAGCAGTGCCATTCAATTGCATAAGAGCAGCTTTCATTTGGTGTTCATGACGTGAAACATATCTTAGATATTGGGCAGGTAGTGTAGGAATTTCCCAGACTAATTTAGCAGAACAAAAATAAGAAAATTTTTGTTGAAAATCAGAATTATGATTTTTCTGATATATATTCTATTACTTCCCACCAGCAGCATTTAAAATTTTTTGAAGCACTACATTAACTGTATTAACCATAAAGATAATTCAGACTTATTTTATTGTACTGTCATATTTTATTACAAACTTAGTTACCTTGAAAACCTTTGAGGCGGGTATAGAAGCTCACTAACCAGCACTGCTGGTATTAGAACTTTAGCACACCAGTGTTTTCACATCACACTATCACATGTTTGTTCGGCTTGTTTTGATGTCCATTTTTATGCATTTAGCCCAACTGTGTGTTGCATTTTCCCTTTTGTTTGTTTTTTTTTCTTCTTTTTTGTGGCCCAATCCCCATTTCAGAGAGCAATCTCCACTAACTGACGAACAGTTGGTAGCAGGGTAAGACGAAATCATTCTAAACCACCTTTCCTTCGCTTAGATCACCCCTGTCTTTTTATCCCCTTCTTTCCTATTTTGTGTCTTATATGGATCTCCAACCCTGATCTAAGTACACAATCCTTTTAAAATGTCGTACAAGAATGAATCAGTGCTTTGGTTTCTACAAAATATGAGTTTAAGGCTATCATTGAAGCTTTAGTCTGTATTGTTTATATTACCTCTAGCATGTAGAGTAAGCTTTAAAGAACACAGTTCAAATTGTGGTGGTGGAGTAAGTCTGTGGTGTGTTTAATTTTTTTTTTATTTCCGAGAGTTAACACCTTAATTTGTGTCCTTTTGATCACAGCATGAGTTACTTAAGTCAAACCAGCATGAGTCTTTCACACTCTTCATTCATACAGCGATTGCACCTTTTCCGCAAAGAGGCCTTTTTCCTCTTTTCGCCTCTCTAGTAGGCAAACAAGTTTTGTTTTCCATTTATACACTTGTTGAATTTAATTACAGGCAGATGCATCTGATTAATGTAACCTCTCCGATAGACAGGAATGTGAAAAGTATAAGCAAACTGAGCTAATTTAAACTTTCTCACTCATCTCAGTTGTGTCTGTGATGTCCGCGCTCTCCCCACACTGCACATTTTCTTATTGGGGTTTTTCCCTCTTTTAGGTTCTCTGACATCGTCCTCTCCACAATCCTGGCCACCAAATCTGATATGTGTGGAAAGAAGTTTGAACTGAAGATAGACAATGTTCGATTTGTGGGCCACCCCACCCTGCTTCAGCATCCTCCTATCATCCAGGTAGGATCATTTGTCGGCCGCTTTTGTCAGAGTCTTCGAATTTGGACAGTCTGTAATGTAATCGGCCTACAAATGTGGGCACAGAAGGATGGGTTCCTGAATTTGGACACAGCTACGATACCTGACACTGCTTCTTCTTCTTCGGGGTTTAACGGCAGCTTGCATCCTTGTACATGTGGGTGGCTGTAACTCAGGTGGCAGAGCAGGTCAGCCACTAATCAGGGTTCGGTGGTTCGATCCCAGGCTGCCTCCTGGCTGCATGCCAAATATCCTTGGGCAAGATACTAACCCCATGTTTGCCTACTGGTGGTGGTCAGAGGGCCCAGTGGCGCCAGTGTCCGGCAGCCTCGCCTCTGTCAGTGCGACCCCAGGGCAGCTGTGGCTACAATGTAGCTTGCCATCGCCAGTGTGTGAATGTGTGTGTGAATGGGTGAATGACTGAATGTAGTGTGAAGCGCTTTGGGGTCCTTAGGGACTAGAAAAGCGCTATACAAATGCAGGCCATTTACCATTTTACATGCAGTGCTGCCATCTTCTGTTTCAGTCCGTTATTACACTCTTAAATCCTACTACTTATTACTGCGTCTTTTGGGATCTTACAAAGCTTCAAACGACGCTCCGCTATTAAATTAGTTGTCAACGATTTTAATAGTCGACTAATCGTGACTAGTCGACTAATCGTGGCAGCCCTAGTCTCTAAACATGTGGAGTGAGGCCTAAATGAAGGTCTGTAAGATAGAGTGAGAGTCTTGGCACAGTGTTCACTGATTTTAAAGAAATATAATAGGACTGACTAATCAGCTGTTGGGTCTCCAGCTCCTTTGTTTTGATTAATGACATCTGCTCACTTGTTCTGTCACATGTGGAGTGTTGCTCATTAATGTGGTCACGAAAGCTCCTACAATACAAATGCGTGCAACATGTATAAGCAAATATTTTGGTTCACTGTTGATAAACAATTCAATTCACGTGTTTTATTATTTATTTATGCAAACTCCTTTATTATGAAATCTGTGCCACATGTCTTTTGTAAGTACTGGTTTTAGCCACAATCTCGTGACACGTGAAGTGAATTCTTTAGCTCACAGTTGAACTAATTTTATGACAAGAGCTGTTCTATCCGGTTGTTCAGTGATGACGGACGAATCCTACTTCCGGGCCTAAAGTAGTCTGCTTTAATATGGCTTTTGTGTTGTTAACATGTTTAATGTTATGTATTTTCTTCTATTTAATCTCAAAAAGCTCCTAAAACAGTCAGTGATCACTGTTGACCTCCCTCGGCTTTTATTACCGCTAATCATTTATTTAAGCTCAGTTTTTAAAACCTTAGGAT